TTCAAAAGCAACAAATCAATTAATAGGCCTTGGCATATGCAAGCATTTTAAGCAGTATTATTTGAACAAACATACATAAGTAGAACAATGAAATACCAAGGAGTTAACATAATTATTAAGTTGAGGCATTCCAATTTAAAACTAAAGAAAATGATTGAGAATAGTGCTGACAATTGCAAGCAGGGAGAAAATGAGCAAAAGGTAACTTGCCAACAAAGGTAGAGGGAGGTAAACGGTGGATGACATTGCTGCAATGAGTATTGATGAGGACCTTTTTTAAGGCATCTCTAAGGATACTGATTGACAATGGGTCCAAATAGATATATGATAGCACAAGCAGTGGCAACTAGACCAGTGCAAACAAAGTAGATGTGAGGCTACATATGCATGACTTCAATAGCGATAGATGGCTACTCACAAATAGATAAAGCAAAGAATGGAGATGTGACAGTAAAGAAGACAAAGACAGTGGTTATGAGTGCTCTCGGTGAAAAAGATGAAGATAGCACTATGAGTGCTCTTGGCGTGAAGAAGACAATGACAACACATGTTTTTAGGTTTTTAAGTTTAAAAAGATGTACAACATTAGTTAATTCCTCTAATTGATGTCATTTCAACTATCAATAGCGGGTGCCACCAAATCCACTATTGATAATAAACAATTTTGATTTTTTTTTTTAAATTCACTAATAGCTTTCAACAACATTTTCATTCATGATTTTTAATTAATAATCCTTTAAAAATATACTTTTAACAATGGGTCTCAAAGGTCCACTGAAAAAGTCATAATATTTTAATTGATAATAATTTATTAAATACTTTTAATAGTGGGTCCCTATGTAATTGCTATTGAATCAATAAACAATAGTAGATGTTTTTTAGCACACTGTTGAAAGTCCAATAGTCATACCTTTAATTACAAAAATGCCATTAAATTTACTTTTTGCATCATTTGCTTGTAACACAATTTTAAGAGTGGGTTGTTAAACTCTTTTTTTTTGCACTTGTGTGTATCCTTTAAGAGAAATGACCTTTTAAAGAAATCAAAGCAAGAGGAGACAAAGGAAAGGGTTTTGATAGTTGTTCTCAGAATATTAAATTAATGATAGTTAGGTCTTTGACAATTTTATTTTTAAAAAATGTAACATCTTAATTTTCTAATCTTGTGATTAGTTATTAATTAGGGGTAAAGTGGTAATTAATATGTGATTAAAAGTTTGGATGGTTGATTGATGATTTGTGCTTTTTGGATGTTAAATGAATAGATATGAGTGGAAGAATCGTGTTTTGGGATGAAGCGTGTGCACGCGAAAAGGATTTTCCTCATTATGTCGCGCGTTACAGCACAAGCCTACCTGTGCCGTTACCTATGGACCAGAAAATGACCTTAAGAGTTGTGGATCAGTCGAAGTGGGCAGAAAGGAAAAAGAAGAAAAACGTAAAGGGGGTGGAGAAGAGTGAAGGGTCGGCTAGGCAAGCATTTCCAGAGCATTAAAAGACATTTCTAATTAGTAACTTATTGGGTAAGCTTTGTATAACCCTTACCTTCTATTCTACCATAAATTCTCTTAGTATGAGTTATAGAGAAATTGAGTTAGGAAAATTTAAGGTGTTAGTTTCTTACCCTATAATAATAAAAAGGTTCTTTGGAGTTAAACTAGAGTTTTACGACTAGTTTAGAGCTTAATGATAGAGCTTTGAACCCATAAGCTTAATTTTAGCCCTAATTCAATGAAAATAAGGGTGGAAATCATGTTTAAGCAGAACGGAATCATTTAAAGTGATATAAAGTGGTAATTGTATGGTAATGAGCTCAGATTGGCTAAATGAAAAGGATTGAATAGCTAAGTATAGCTATTAATAGTAATTATGTGCTTTTACTCAATTGAGCCAATTGATTAATTATGCCAATTTTGTGTAGATTGGCACATCTCGTGACTAAAGTGAGAAAAGAGAACTTCCTAGAGACAAGTAGCGATTGAGAAAGTACCACAGGTAACCTTTCTTGTAACAGAAGGGTTGAGGTAACTAAATAACTTTCTCAATTTAACTATTTATTATAACTATGTATAAGTATGCTATCTAGTATATGAAATTATTTTAAGCTAAGCATGTCTTATATCATTGTGTGAATGTTACATGAAAATAGTTTCTAATCAAATAGATGGGTGGAAATATGAAATTTTATGTTGTATATATGTGTATATGTATATATGTGTATGGTGGTAATTAGAAATCTATGATTGGTTCAAAAAGCATGATCATAGGAGTGAGAGTTTACTCGTAGTGTGGAGATGTAGAGAAAGATCATATGGCATTATTCTCCTTAGTGCCTGACGGGATGTAGTGTTGGAGAATTGTACCTCTTTAGTGCCTTTTTAAGTGTGGCATTGGAGATTATCCCCTTAGTACCTATTAAGGTGTGGTGTTGGAGATTTAAACTTCTTAGTATCAATATGATGTGGAGTTGGAGTCAACGACAACCCATTGTGTGTATTGGGAGAAACCATAGTCTAGGAGTGTGATAAGACACCTTTAGTTAAGTGATTCTACCATTGAAAATTTGCTTAAAGCCAATGAGAGTATATATTAACCTAAGGCGAGCCTATGGTTTCAAGTCGGGGTGATTTGAAAGTTTGGTTAATACTAATCATGCTATATGTTAGAAAAGTGGTGAAAAGCAGTGAAAGTAGTAAAATGTGTTATATTGATAAGATTTGAAGTGAAATGTATATTATATGCTATTTTTAATTGTATAATATGCTATACTTGCTTATGGTTGCATGTGATAGTCAATAGTATAGAGTTATTCTATTACTGAGATTTTTATCTCACCCCTTGGTTACATTTTTATAAGATAGAGCAGTGAGTCAGGCAAGGAAAAAGAGTCAAGACCAACATAGGGTGCCATGGCTGTGAAAACTCTGAGTTTGTGTAATAAACTAAGATTTAATGTGGATAATGTATATATAAATTTTCATAGGGTTGCACACATATTTTGAATGCTTAAAGCTTTAAATGTTATGAATTTTGGTAAATTTTAGCCTATGTGTAGAAACGTGGTGAAATGAGTAATTGGGGGCTAAGATTTAGTTATGAACGTGTTGTAAATGTACTAGTGGTGAATATAAAGTGATTCGTGGTAAATTGGTAATGAAAATGGCTTAACGAGCTAGTTTATGTTAAGTGGTGATTAATGATTGAAATGTGGAAATTGGTCATTTAAAAGCCAAATTTTGATATATCAGTATATGTAATGAAATGTGATCAATTACATGTAATAGGTCCTTTTGAACTTAGTTCAAGGTCTATTATGGTCTAATAAGATAATAGGATTGATTTAAGCACTTGGGTGAGTAAATTTTTTAGAAAAAAGTAACTTTTTGCACCTCGGGTGTTCAAATTTGATCAAATTGTTAGATCATGTCCAAACCTATCTCATTAGTTAGTTTATGAGTTAAGTTTCGTATGGGCACTTAAATTATTCTGACCGAATGTTGTATGTGAAAATGGCACATACCAGAAGTTCATCATTTGAGCTGTCAAATGATAGCTATAGAAATTGGTTTGTGTGCCATGGCATATTACGTATCATGCCACGGTGCATGACACAAAGAAAGTCTAGGCGTGTGGCTCTGTGCCACATGCCACGGCGCATGTGTTACTTGCTGTGGTACATTGGCCATAATCTAACTTGAATTTGTAGTTTTTAAAAGCATGCAGGGATTGATATGAATACATATAATTTGTTTCCGCTGTGTATTTCTAAGATGTATTTTGATTTTGATGATTTTGCAAAAGGAAGTCTTGGACCCAAGCTTTTGAAATATATTGATTGATTATGATTTTAGTTTCATGAGTGGTAATTAAGTTAATCATTTCCTATATCTAGTGGATATAGAGAAGGGTTACAAAAAACATGTTGAAAATATCAATTCAAATAATTACAAATTTAGGAGTTTTAATTATAAATAAATATTTAAGTATTAAACATAACTCTTAAATTGTAATAAAAACTTTTATTTATAACTATTTGAATTAATATTCATGACCATTTTTTTAAAAATATTATCGAGAATCGAAATGTCATTAATTTAACTTTTTGAAACGTAACTGTCTTTCTCCCTAAAAGAAAAGGTGAGAGAGAGTCATTAGTTCGTGGACAAATGGATAGCCGGTGTTCATTGTTATGTTTTTTTCACTTCATGAATTTCTTTGCACCACCTTAATATTAAATGCTTCTTAAAAATAGTTGAAGGATAAATTTAATATTTAACCTCACACACACACACGTATATATATAGCGGCGGACCTAGGTGCATTGTGAGGGGAGTCCTACTACCCCTTCATATGTATTATGCATGTGTGTATTGTGTGTGGGGATGGGTAGCCTTCCCATTGTTTTCTTAAAAAAAAAAAAAATTATTCTCTCCTCCTCTCAAATATATAGTCATACTTTCTTATTGTATAGTATTCTCTCCATTTAAAAATAATTTTTTTAAAAAAATTAGATATTTAAAAATATAAGGTATTTTAAGTTTTATAATGTGTAATTGATGATTTTTTTTTCAAAAATATCTTTAATAAATAAACCACTAAAATTTTTGCTTTTAAGTAAGAAACCTAAGAACAATTAACTAACTTACTAGGGACAATAATTCACTTAAAATTAATTTATATTTTTAAATGAACGAAGGAGTATTATTGATGCAAGAGGAATGTTAAATTTTTATCAGTAAAAAAAGAGTGAAATTTAATAGTTATGTCATATATATGAGCTTTCCTATTAGATTGATTATTGATGCTTTATATGTTAGTTTTATTATGTTGTAAGGGTATTTTAATAAAATTTTTATTCCTAAATATTAAAAAAATTAAACAATAAATTGTGGACATATATAACAACCTTTATTTAAATTGGCCCTCCCTCACTTTCAATCCTGGTTCCGCCCCTTATTATATATATATATATATATATATAGACCCGCGCGCACCCCATATATTTGTAACAATGACCAATTTATTCCTTATTTGATTCGAACACAAATCACACGACAAAATCTGTTCGTCGTGTGGACATATCTAGATGAATTACATCATATAACTCTGAACCTTACACAACACGAGCTTGAACGTAACTACATCATATAACCTATGTGAGAGGGAAGTTGTTTTAAGATAAATTTTTATTTAATTGATTAATAGCTGATTCTTTCGTCCTAATAGCTTTCCAGTGTGCTGAGAATAAAGCACAAGAGATCATAAAAAGACGTTCGTAATGAACGTGATCTTCAACCTTCAACAATATAATTATGGCTTCACTTCCCTGCAACATTGAAGCGGATGGAGTCACAAACCACCACCAAAGTTACGTTTAATCTTTTTCCCCTTTCGATGAGTATTAGGGCCTGGTTTGTGTAACTTTAAAAATAAGTGATTTTTAGATAGTTTAAAATTATAAAAATAATATATTATTATATGCATGGTTACAATAATAAAATATAATTATTATTTAGTTATTTTTAGATCTTTAATATTTTAGTTCGTGGATCTCTATTTATAAAAATAATTTTATTATTTATTCTTTTAAAATTTTATAATATATTCATCTATCTGTACAACACATCATATTATTCTTGAAAAGTATTCAAAGTAACCTTTCAAAATACTTCTTTTTTTCTTTCTAGATTTTTTTATTTTCAAAAATTTAAACAAAAATCATAAAATTTCACAAAATAGATTTCTTTCTAAAAATAATTGATTTTTTGATAAAAAGATTAAACAAACAGGGCCTTAATCCATTTTTTTAACCAAATAATTTAATATTTTAATCTAACATTCTTATTCTCATATATCATTATCTTCAAAAAATCAAAAACTAAATCAGACCAACTAATTTAAAAATAAATTAAACAAGTAACCTAAACCTCTCCAGTTCAAAACGTTTCCCAAAAATCGCTTCAATAAAAACATGTCAATAATTGGTAAAACTAATGCTTTCTACTAATACATAATACTAATAATACTAAATTGTATTAATTTTATCACAAATTACATTACATTATTAATTTTATTAACCGACTTGGTCTGGTTGGATCAATAAGTTTAAATCAATATTTCTATAATTGAGTTAAATGATTAGTGTGATTTTAGAACTACCACCTGATATTGGACATATCAAGAAGAATATAATTGAGAAAGCGAATATGCAACTTCTTCGTCATCCACTACTTTGCTTCTTTCTGTGAGCAGTGATACCCATACCAGTGCATGTCTCTCTTTCTAATAGAAAGATATACCAATTTCAAATCTATAGCGTAAAATGAAATATTTTGGTTCGCTTCTAGAGAAGCAAATTTGTCATACACTATTTCCTGTCCTTAATATAATATACCTTTAGAAGTTTGTCCATTTTTTAATATAAGACAGTTTAATTATAAAAATTAATAAAGCATTAATGAGTTATTTTCAAAAATGTCCACACATCTAATTGGCTCATTTTGAGTGGCAAGTTTGACTTTAAGATTTAAAAGCAAAGTTAATAATTTTAATTAAGGATAATTTAGAAATCTAATAAAATTTTGTAAAGAAATCAAGACTCTTAACTAATTTTAACTATATTTTTTAATTCATATAATTTATTTAGAAATATTTTATAAATAGAATCAGAGAGAGTGTGCATTTCTATATATTGTTAGCCTTAACCATTTTTTTGGAATTGTACCTTAACCTCTATTTTGTTGAGGGGGGAGTGGAGTTTCTAATGATTCAATTTAAAAAATGAATAAGAAAGGTTATAAAACTTTAATAAGAAAATATGTAAAATAGAAGAGCAAGGAAAATTAATTAAAATTTTTTTAACTTAATTTCTCAATTTTTTTTAAAATTAAACTCATTAGAGAAGGGGAGCCATGGGAGGTGATGGAGGTGAGGTGAGGGGAAGGGAGGGAAGGGGAGGGTTTTTATATTATCTTGTTTGGTTTTATTTGGGAGTTTTTTTTTTCTTTTTAAGATAAAATGGAATAGAATGGGATAATTAGAAATCTTATTCATTGTTTGGAAGAAAATTTTAAAAGAGGATGCAATGGCTTGGGGAGGCTTTTGAAGTCATCCCTTGCCATCATAAACTCATTTTTCTTGACCTCCCAATTTGGAGGGTCAAGTATGAAATGATATGATATAAATAAATATTTTTATAAAATTACTTTTATCTTTCTCACTCCCTCTCACTCTTTCACTCCCCTTGACCTTAAATTAAAAAGTATAATTATATCTTATTCAAATATATTAATTTATAATTATTCTTAAATAATAATTAAATAAAATTATTTATTCTTTAATGAAACTCCTAAACAATGGAATGTCCACTCTGTTCCACTTCATCACATTCAACTCTATTAATGATTATTTATTGGTTTAGGAGGGGAAGAGAGGTGAGGTAATAACTAATTTACTATTATATCCCTATACATTAGTTTATTTTTTTTTAATTTTTTCTCCTAGAAAATAATTTTACACCTCAATTTAATTGCATAATTTTTTTTAAAATTCACTCTCATCATGTCAATATGTGAAAAAAAAAAAATTAAATTAATAATTATAATGATAACATTTTTCATAAAAAATAAATAACTAAATATATAATGAAATATGATGAAATGTAACTTTTTAAAAAAAAAATATAATGTGGCCAGTTCAGGTCTGTGAGTGAAGTACAATCTGATATGAAGGAGAGTTTTTTTTATTATAAGTACACTTAAAATATTAAAAATTAAATAAGGTAAAATAGTTAAAGAAATTAGCTCGCCTCCAAAAAAACCACAATTTGAAAGGGAGTAATATGAGGGGAGGGAGGCGTTATTTTAGCTCCCCTCCCCTCCAAAATTTCTTAACCAAGTAGAGGGAGGGAGCATCTCCCCTCACCTCCCCTCCCCCCTTCCAAAAACTTTCAGCCAAACACATACTAAGAGTTTGAATGATGGGAGAATATTAATGAAGGACTCTAAAAGTATTTAATATCTAATAAAAATTTCTAACAAATAAACATTAACAAATTAATAAGTGAAATTATTGTTTTAATGAGTATCCAATTTCCCCAAAATTATTGTTAGATAGTATTAAATTAATTCAAGGGTTGTTCATTGATATTCTCAATAATCCCAATATATATATTGAAATTGAATAAGGATAAGAGATCATGAGTACCTGGGCACTGAGGCGACCTAAGGCCACACTTAGCGGGCAAGGCCAAAGCATTCTTTGGATCAATCCCAAGTGAAGGCAGCACGGACTTGTATTTGCAGAGGCACGGCATGTTCACATGTCGGACCACCGCGCAGCATGCCTGTGTTGGCGGTGGCGGGTTGCTTCCGGTGACTGCAGCACGGCACAAGTTGAGCTTCGTGGAGTCTGTGTTGCATAGCACAACACTCTCAGCTTTCCCACCCAATAAGCCAATCATCATAATTGTTGCTGCTATCAATACCATAAAGGCCTTCAAGAGTTTGATTGCCATATTGCGGTTTCCAAGCAAAAGCTTTCTTGTGAGTCTGTGATTTGCTAAGTGGTGATATTTTATAGGGAAGATTTGGAGTTGGCATTTTCAACTTTCTTTTGTTTTATATTATATGAGGAAAGTGGAAAGCAACTTCTGCGCTGGTGAAGAGCTAGCAAGTTGATTAGCATCAATGATATACATGGGGCCTCTAATTCTTTTGTCTCATAGTACTATTTCGTAGTCTACGATTTCATCCAAATCAATCAATCAATTAATTCATATCATTCACCATTATAAAAGATAGCCCGTGTTTTCTGGGTGAATTGAATGTAAGGCTTCCTGAAGAAAAGATATTTTCTTAAAAAAATAGTAATTAAGTACTGCTGAAAGAAATATATAGTTAATAATTAATTATTATCAAAATTTAAATGAAAAAAATTCAAATAGAATGTTGTTACTTTAAAATGTGTTATTAAATTTGAATGGATACTTATTAAAAAAATATTAATATAAATCAACAAGTATCATTCGAGTCTTGACAATAAATATAAATTTTTTTCCGCAATTCTTAATGGATATTTTTTTTTTATTTTCTTTGTTGCTGGCCCAATCGATTTTGATAATTCTCTGCAAGCTCGAGGGTCTCGTGCAACTATTTTTAAAGCTGAAATGACCCGTTTGTTCACATGAGTTTGCAAATTTATACTTGTGATCTTTTCACTCATTAATTGTAAACCAATCTTTTCAATTTCAAAATTATAATTAAATGTGAGGTCTTCGGATAAATATTTTAAATATAAAATACTTTAATATTTAATAATATAATTAACTCTGTTTGAAAATTTAACAAGTTTTCAACTTTATTCTATTAAACGTACATTTTTAAAACATAAAATATCTTAACATTTGATAACATTCCAACATTTAATTATAGACAAAATAATCATTGAGGTGTCCTATAAATAAGATAATAAAATATTCTTTCTCTACTTTATAAATAAAATCGAAAGGGTATGTGATTCTCTATGTGGTGTTATGTAGAATTTAAAATAGTCATAATAGTGTTTATAGTTTATTACAAATGCATTTTCTTAAAGATTTTATAATGTGTGTATATATTTTGTTACATATAATGTTTGTTATAAATGCATTTCTTATAGATGTTTTGCTTTGCAATACTGTTCGGTAGTCTGCTAGTCAATTTCGTGCATATCAATTGAAACCAACCATGCAAATACCTCCCTATTTTACATGAAATTTAATGAGTCGCTCTATTAACAATTTCAACTTATAAAGTGTGTGTGTGTATTAATATATTTCGATTTATTAATAAAACTACACCAGGAGGGAAACCATAAAGAAAGTACAGAGAGACAAACTAGATTTTGTCTTTATATTTGGTCCTTGAGTTATATCCAAAAAATAAATAATACGACTTTTTTACCCTATATTACGAAAAAATTTAGTTAATATACCAATATATTAATGTAAATTTCATTATAAATAATTGCATTAAATTTTTAAAAAACATGGATAAAGTGTAGTTTTTCAAATCTCCTACAAGGCACAGGGCCCCACTGAGTTTCAAAAAATTCACGTCGTGCTTGTGCTTCTTTTAAAAGATATATGAAGTACCAAAATTATAGTATAAAAATTTAGAGTTAATCCATGTGGTTTAATCAATAAATTATTAAATCAGCATATTGATCTGTTTAATGAAATATTTTATTTATAATTAATTTAATTATGATTCAATTATAATTATAATTATTAATTTTTAAATTAATGATTTGATTGGTTCAAGAACCGGTTGAGCTTTCAACATCTTGACCAAAAGTGACAAAGGCGAGATGAGAAGAAATTTGCAGTACTTGAATTATGAATCCACTTGTGTCATGTGAATGAGATCTGTGGGAAGCTCACGAGAAAGGTTCGGTGAATGAAATGATTGGATCATGACAACACTAATCAAACAAAGTGGAGCAGCTGGTCCCCTCACTTATACATACAATTGTATAACAAATCAAGGCCAAGATGGGTCGTTGAAGATGCTGAACTCGTGTCTTAATCCAATATATATGACATTGATTTGTCTGCCCGTTAGTACCTTGGAAGGGTTATTTATGGAAGGGAAAATGATGATGAGGCTGATATTAAAAATAGAAAAAATTACAAACAGGTCATGTATAAAAAAACTTATTTATGAATAAATTCTATAAATTTTCAAAAATAAAATCAAGTGCCATCAAATTTTGTTGTAATTAATTTAATTACCATGTAAAATAACACAAATATTCTTAAATTCTTACCCTTCTAACTAGCGTTGACCAACTACAAGCAGTAATTGATTGGCAGTCGGCCGTTGTTGACCGGTCACTTGCTGGCATTGATTGGTCAAAAATAATTTTTTTAAAAAAATATTATTATTAAAACAATAATACTTTAATGTTTACAAGTTAAAAATTATATATTAACTAGCCAGTGTTGATTTACAATATTAATACTTTAATATTTTCAAATTAAAATTCATAAATTTACAAGTTAAACTTTTAAATGAAGGTCTTTATCTTGTAAATCTGTGAAATTTAAATTGTAAATAGGCTAAGTTGACTTATAAATAACAACCTATTAATATTATAAGAGGTCAAGTTATAAATGTAAAAAAGCTTGAGTTGTGAATTTTGAAGATTTACTTGTAAATACATTATGTTTGACTTATAAATATTAAAATATGAATAATTTAATAAAAATATTTTTTCAAAAAAATTTATTTTTTGACTATCAACATCAGCTGGTGATCGATCAACCGTCATGCCGAACACTGATCAATGACTACTAGTAGTTGATCAATGCCACTCAAAGAGGTGAGAGTCTAAAGGTATTTGTGTCACTTTGCATGAAAATTAATTAACACAAATTCATGGGATTTAATTATAAATAAATTTCTTATACAGGACATTCATAATTTTTTTTAAAATATGTTTTAGTTTGTCAATATTGAAAAAAAATTAGAAAAATAGCTCTCTTATTTAAAAATACAAAATTACTTAAAAAAAAAGACAGGCATAAGGATGTTTGAATATTTTTAACAAAATCATGATTTTGAATTTATAAATATTGCTTTGTCTTTATTTTTTCTCCTTGACTAGATACTTGTACGGCCACTATGTTCAACCACATTCTTTGTTGGGGGAGGCCCCAAATTTTTTAACATTTAAGTATAGGATATGGAATTGTATGAACTAGACCTAATGGGTCGACAATAAGACAATGTAACACCCAGTTTTATAACCTTTTTTTTTTTTTTTTTTGCAAAATTTTAATAAACTAGTCAAATAATGAAAACCAGGATCCCAAAAACAACATCATTGGGCTAAAAGCATTTAAAGGCCTAATAACAATTTCACCACAAGCCCAATCTAAAACAACTAAATCCATTTCAAAACCAAGTTCCGCAATCCTTTATCAAACAACACAATCCAAAAGAAATATCAAACCAACAATTTTTTAAAATAATTCAGTTATTCAAAACATGGTCCTAAGTCACGGCAACATAATGATAAAACAATAACATGTGTCTAGCCAAAGGAGCCTAAACTCACTTTTCCAACTTCTTCCCTGTAGTGCTAACGAACTGTTCACCTAAAATATTGAGAAGTAATAAAATGTGCTCTAACGTCTTAATAACGAATGGATATTCTAACCTATATTATCAGCATGTCAATTTAAAACAAGTTCACAACCTATACACATATACTTTTCACAATGTTTTTGCAAATCCTTTCTCAAAAAGGGAATGTCAATCCTCCATAATCAAATTAATTTACATCAAAGAAAAAAAATCAAGTGATCATTATTCCAACCACACCCCTATGTCATACCCTTTACACCTAATTATTACCATTAGTTGGAGCCTAAATTGTGAATACACCCAACTAAAGCTACATTTAGGATTCTTATCTTTAAAAGGAGGTGCCCATCATCTCATAACTTGAAACAGGGTAATAGGGAACTACAAGAAAGACCAAACACTATGCTCACAATGGAGGCGAACCATATGGCAATGAGAATATCTAGTCTCAATCTCCCAAATACTGTAACATCCTAAAATTTTAATTAGAAGTATTAAAGAAAGAAGGAATTAATTACAAGTATTGTGGAGCAAAATTTAGGGCTTAAGAGTGAATTAATTTGAGGGAGAAATTAGGTTTCTTTCTATGACCATCCGCGGTTATAACCTAATAGATGATTACCATACAAAAACAAGCATCCATGAAAGAGGAGTGTGTATGCTCTTTGTTTGCAACTGTCCATGATTGAGCCCTTTAATGGAGATGACAATCCACGGCTATGAATAGAGTGAGAAAATCTGGATTAGTGACTTCAACCATGAGCAGACATGATTATAACATGCACAACCTGCATTCATAGTTGAAACATCAGTTTTGCTATATAAGAACTAAAAATACAGTAACAAAGGGGAAAAAGGGAAGAGTTAGAAAGGAGAAGAGGGAGCTCTGCTAGGACAAGAGTTTTTTTTGGCTATTTGAATAGTTTTGGAGCTTAGAATCACTAGAGGTAAGTTCTAAATCCTTTCCTCTCCATTCTAGATCCATTTTGAGGATAGGGATTCTAGTTTCTCCCTTTATTTCGGTTGAATCTTGGTATTTTTTTATCTCTAGGAGGTTATGGCCTAAATTAATTGATGAAATGAAGTTGTTGAAAGTTTATTTTTGTTTCTAGACTAATGAGTGTCAATTGTTTGAGGATTAGAACCAATCTTGAATGATTTGAACAAAACCTAAGTTCAAAATGCTCAGATATAAGATATGCAAATGGATGGATGAGTTGGTGAGGATTATTAGGGCCTAAATAAGTCATTTGAAGCATGGGAATGTTGAATTTTGGGAAGAAATAAATTTTTAGAGATTTTGGGTGGATTAACGGTAATTTAACTTGATGTAAATGATATAAGTTGTTGATTTTGAGATGCATGCATAAGGCTATAAAGTTAAGATTTAAATTATTAGGAGTTAAATGGTGTTAATAGAGATAAT